ATAGTACTTGGCCTTCCATTCCTATGGGGCAACAAATGAATTGGAGCTGAGGAGGTCATTGCCTGGTTTAGACGAGGGGAGTGCTCTCCAGTGTGCCACTTTCCACAGCTCCTCGTACCTTCCCTAATACTCGAGCCGTTTATCATTGACTAGCTGAGGTCAGCGTGGCCTTTCCCCGCATACCTGCACAGGTGTTTTCCCTACTAAATAAACCATCTCTCTGGGCCCCATGTCTCCAGCAGTAGTAGTTAAGAGATCCCAATATAAAATGGGAGAAAGAAGTATTTTGTGTCTGTGGAAGTCCTTGGAGGGAAGGTAGGGGAGGGTGGGGGTAAGGGGGAGAGATCAACCAAAGGACTTATATGCAAGCATATAGGCCTAACCAATGGACACAGACAACGGGGTGGGGGGGTTGAGGGCATGAGCAGGGGGTGGGGGGTAGGGGATAACGTGGGGATAAGGACACATATGTAATATCTTAATCAATAAAAAATATATTAAAAAATAATAGTCCTGTTTGTTTATTATTAAGCACCTAGGTATGTTACTCCTTTCTGTTGCACCTTTCTGGCTCCTATAAGAATTAGATTAGATTATTTAACTCCTGTTTTGACATTACACCCACAGCCAATGAGGACTGCTCTAGATTTTTTATTGGTAGCCTGGCATACTGAAAAGAAAAGGCTGTCTCCTGCTCCTGACCTCACATTGCCCAGCTTCAGATTTGTTGTACACTAATCTCTACATGGCCTTGCCTGCTGGGAGGGAAAAGGCCCTTCTGATGGCACAGGACTGCCCATAAGCAGAGGAGGAGAGGACACGGAAAACGGGAAGGTGGCCCAGTCTCTTTCCTTTTCTTTCTTTCCACTCTGTTCAGAACCTTTTCATTTCTGTCTTATGTTTCTGTTAATTGTGGGTAGGGCCCATTCATTTAACACAGTGGTTGGGATCCAATATATTTTCAATTATGAATGGAAAATATGAATATGATTTCAAACACCAATAATTTTCTGTTAATTTGAAAATCTGACTGATTTGGAGGTTTTTAGTTGCATAAACTATCCTTGGTCAGAAGCAAGGGGTGGGGATAGTGGACATGAGATAGTCACGGACATGTGAAATGTGCACATGGATGATGAAATAACATATGAAGCCACATACTGTTTACTTAATATTGTCTAGTTTATATACTAGTAAGAGAAGCTAGAGAGACTTCTCAATCAGTTAAAAAACAAAACATACCAGTTTATGTAGGAACTTCTTAAAGTCTTTTTCAATCTCTAAAGGCTTCTTGGTAGCCTTTGCTTGGAGTCTAACATGGAACAAAGAAAATCGTTAACCAAACTAGTTTTTATACTGACACCAACTAAGGCCAACATTTACAAAGGGTTTAATGTGCCGGGCACTTGCCAGCACTTTGCAAATGTTAATTCAATTACACTTGTCTTATGCAGTAGGTACTACTATTATTTATCCTGTGTTATCAATGAGGAAACAGCCTCTGGGAGGTCAGGTCCCCGCCCCACAGACGTAGAGCTCACAAGTAGCGGAGGATGAACCCAAGCAGTGTGACTGGAGCCCTCAGTTCCAACCATGGTGCAACACTGCACCCCAGCCATGGAGATGCTGCACACAGCACTCCCTGAGCTGACCCCACTCACAGGCTCCAGCACAGACTTTAGGAAGGGTCAGTGGGGAGAGAAGAGTAAGAGAGACTGGCAAGAGAAAGACCTGGGGGACAGAGAGAGAGACATGGAAGAGGCAAAAGGGTGAGGGTGCCCACTAGACTAAACTCACAGAGAGTGGGAATCCAGGGCTCTCTCATGGTTTCTGTCCCTAAGTACTCATTCAAGAATTATTTAGGAGGGAGATGAGTAGTTGAATCCAGAGATCTTTGAGGCAAGAGGCAGAAGTAGCCTAGGCAAGGAAGGGTAGGAACTTGCAACAAGGGAGAAACAATTAGCAGCAAGAGAAAGACGGATGAGTGAAAGAAAAATGAAAAAGGGTAAAAGGTTATTATTTCACTGGAAATTTTCAACTGAGACATTTTAAAATTATTCTTCCTCCATGAAATCTGTAGGAAGTAAAATTTTCTATGAATTCCAAATATACTTGTGCAAGCACAAAGTTTGGATTGCCAACCCCCTGCAAGGCCTGCTCTAGGTTTCTTCAGTGTTTAGTCTAGGGTTGCCCCGAGGGCACAGTAGGGCTACCTCTTGGGGGTCTCTTGCTTTAGTGCTCTGTGAGTGGTAAATGTCCCCTCGCTCATCTGCTACTTTGCCTCTGCCAATGTTATCGCCTCAACCTCACTTCTTATTACCCTCTGGGTCTGTCCTTCCTCTGTGTTTCTCAAGTGTGTTCTTACAGTTTGGGTCTCTTCCTCATAGTCTTATTTACTCCAAAATACCCCTGTGCCCTTTTCCAGTCACACCCTCTTAGAATCTTCTTGACTTGCAACTCATCCGGAGACCCTGGTTCATCTCAGTTGACATCAACCCACCTTCCAAGTCTCTCCTTTGGTTGACAGCCCCCCTCTATTTAAATAAATAACAGCTTTATTGAGGTATGTCACATACCATAAAATTTACCCTGTGGAATGGTACAATTCAGTGGTTTTTAGGACAGCTGACCCTGGAACAGCACTGGTCTGGACTGCATAGGTCTGTTTATACATGGCTTTGTTTTTGCAGTGGAGGCAGAGAGCCAGCTGCATCAATCTACACCATTCTGTAGGAGGGACTTGAGCCTCTGCAGATTTTGATATTTGCAGGTGTCCTGGGACTAATACCCTGTGGATGCACAGGGACAACTTAAGCTTTGGGGAGTCAAAAGTTATATGTGGAATTTTGGCTGTGTGCAGGTCAACATTGTTCAAGGGTCAACAGTATGCTCACTGTTGCAGTCATCACCACTGCCTGTCCCATCCTCCAACTGCCTTTCTTCTCCATGAATCCCTCATTTCTGAAGATTACTAGTACATGGTGTGCCTATAAGTTTAACAGGCACATGGAATGTATATATCCAAACTAGAGGCCTGGTGCACGAAATTCGTGCATGGGAGGGGAGTGTCTCTCAGCTCAGCCTACACCCTCTCCAATCTGGGACTCCTCAAGGGATGTCCGACTGCCGGTTTAGGCTCGACCAGGGCCTAAACCGGCAGTTGAACATCCCTCTCACAATTCGGGACTGCTGCCTCCTAAGCGCTCGCATGCTTGCCTGCCTGATTGCCCCTAACTGCTTCTGCCTGCCTGCCTGATCACCCCCTAACCACTCCCCTGCCAGCCTGATCACCCCCTAACCACTCCCCTGCCAGCCTGAACGATGCTTAACTGCTCCCCTGCTGACCCGATTGCCCCCAACTGCCCTCTCCTGCTGATCTGGTTACCCCTAACTGCCCTCCCCTGCTGGCCTGGTCCCCCCCAACTTCCTTCCCTTGGTGGCCTGGTTGCCCCTAACTGCCCTCCCCTGCAGGCCTGGTTGCCCCTAACTGCCCTCCCCTGCCAGCCATCTTGTGGTGGCCATCTTGAGACCACATGGGGGCAGCCATCTTGTGCAAGGGCGTGATGGTCAATTGCATATCACCCTCTTTATTATATAGGATGAGTATTTTTCCCCTTTCACTTTATCCAACGTGTCCACTGGCATACTAGTAAGGTACATTTGGAGTGCTTTCTTGCATTGTTTCTCTCAAAACCGGTTCTACATTTCTTCCCTTATATCCCTCAGTGGGGGAGAAAAGCCATAGATTTGGTTTTTGGGGAACTTTGGAAATCAGATTTTATAACCGAGGTGTTGCAAAAGGGAAAGCTGTCCTGATAAGGTTTTGGGGAAAAGTGAGATAAGAATTCTTAAAGTAAGGGGTCATGTGACTAGGCGACTGGGCTTTTCTAATTCCAGA